ATAAACAGGGATTCCCGTTTGCATGAACAGACATCGTTTTTCAAAGTGGCAGATACATTTAAACAACTGCCCTGTGATTCAATGGCCTATCCAAACTAGGCCTATATTCCTGTAACAAAGTCAGACATTACTCGAGCATGAAAGGGAAAGGAACACCCTAATTATAGTTATTTAGGCATAGGTGCCTAAGCTTTGGTCTTTACCTCGAGCTAGGCCAGCCTTTGCCTAAACTTTCTTTCTTGATGTCATAGGTTAGTTTTTGCCCAACAACAACCAATCCAACCAAGCACACCCACCACAAGGAAGACCGCCCACTTGTAATGCATTATGTAACAAGTTATTTTAAGCAGTGAGAGTCTCTGTGGAACATGCGAGTCTTCATGCTGTGAATCGACGATACGATAAGCCCACTGGGCGGGTTTCTTTATTTATGGACTGCGGTGTTGCCTATTTTCAGTCGCAGATGCGAATTTGGAGCCAATTCCTTTATATTTTGAGGGAAATGGTTTTTTGCAAAGTTGTTTTTATGCATTAAAAATAAGTGATGCAACAAAAAAAAAAAAAAATAAAAAAAAAAAATTAATTAATTATTCCCGCATCAATATTTCCTAAATTGTTTACACAGGCGGGAGTGACAATCTAATAAATTTTTCTATTTGCCCTAAAATAGTACTTAAACTGAAGAATGAATATGAGTAATTCAATTAAAGAATGAGTAACACTGTTTCTTCTGTATGCCCATATATAGTCATAATGTGCCTATATACGGTCATGATGCGATGTCATCATGACCATATTTAGGCATGTCACATGTTTTTAGTAGTCTGGACAGAGGCCTGTAAATTGTAGAATGAATGGAAGTACTTGAATTGAAAAAATAAGTAGCTGTACTCTACTTGAATTAGAGAATAAGTAGAATTTAAATTCAAGAATGAGTTTGAGTATTAAACTGAGAAATTAGTAGGTCTAATCATTTCACTTGAAGAATGAGTTGCAGTACATGAGTAGGAGTACTTACTTGGCCTATATATGGAATGTCAATCTCAGCTCTAAGACATATTCTCTGATGTACAGAATCTTCTTCATCTGAAATATTCCTATTATAAGAAAGCTATACTCATCAATTGTTTACCATGGATATATATTTAAGCTCTGCCCAGATCATCAAATTTTCATTGACAAAAACTGTTGTATGCCCATATATAGTCATGATATGCTTATATACTGTATGGTCATGATGTGACATAATCATTACCATATTTAGGCATGTTGTTACATGTTTTTGCCAAATAAAATTTGATAGTTCTGGATGAAATTTTTTATCAGATTTTGTCTAACAAAAAAAAGCATTGTCTGACTACCAGTAAAAGATTGGTAAATGTACGAAAAGGTAGAGGTAGAATACTCATAAATTGCAGCGTTATTGTGCTAAATTGTGTATTAGTGTTGTCCATGACTACCTGGCAGCCGTAAAGAAGCGCTTATAGTAGCTTTGTGTTCACATCAATCCACAAGGACGGGGCTAAAATGAACCATAGCATCGGAGTAACCCTCTACTATTCCAAAACATACAAAGGGTTTCTACAAAATGCACATAAGCCAAATGTGTACACTGGACCCCCATTTTAAGTCCTTATCCGAGGCAAGGAACAACTCAAACCAGAACCAGTGCCAGTTAATACCTGGCACAGGTAGTTAGTGGTTCCCCTGCCTTACCACTCTGCCACTCAACTCGCTTTACCCTTTGAGGTCGTGGTCCATATCCCATACGGAGTAATTTACTGTCATTGGATGCGCAGTCCGTATAGTGACCTATATATCCTATTGTTTTAATAATGCTGCCCTCTGTTGGTGACTCTTTTAGTAACTAGACAAGGATTAGCGATTGTATAGAGCAAAAATCAGCAATTGTTTCTGTCAGTGATTGATGTACTTGGATAGACGAGGATAGCAGGATTGTTTCTATAATAATTAATTAATTAATTAATAATATAAATAATATGAATTCGAGGAAAGATTTTTACTAGAAACTTTAGCAGCGCAACCAGTAATGCTAGGCCTAGGCCTGCAAACATTCATTTCGGGTTTGGTCATGTACTGTAGATGGACCCCCTTCTCATATTTCAATACCCCTACCCCCATCTTCTCTATTATTATTATATTGTATTATTATTTCATCAAGTGTACTAGTTTTAGTGAAATATATATATGTCCAGTAGTCCACCCTAGTTAGAAATAAGCATACTTAGGCCTAGCTAGGCTTACTTGCCCTCTATCCAGGGAGGGGGCGTGTGATAGAGGCTTTTCCCCAAATTATGACCTTGGGCATAAAAAAATCGTCATAAATATGAAAGCATAATTTTTTTTAAGCAAACACATTTTATTTCTGTAGAAAACAACATATTCCACATTATGCATAACATTTATGAGCATATGAATTTTTTTAGTATCATTTACATGGGGGTTTATGGGGAAAAAAGTACCCTTTTCAGGCCCCTAAATTGCAATTTTGGGGCACATGACCTTTGACCTAGGTAAAAAAGTCAAACGATTTTGCTATTTTTCGGGAGCCCAAAACATTTTACCCAACAATCCAACCCAACATTTGCAGAAAGTTACAGTCATAAAAATTTATTATGCATTTTTCAGAAACCTATTAAAACCCCTTAAGGGGCCCCAGCGACCTAGAATAGACCCTATTGGGACTTCAAAGGGTTAAATGAGGAAAGACAAATAATTTGTTTGATCATTTAAGTCTGGTAAAATATTGTCTGATGTGTCAGACAGACAAAAATGGGAGTGTTCAGCAGGCGTTGTCCACACTATGACAAATGCGATATGGTACCTGTGATTTGCCCATATACGGGTGTGTTATGACATCATCATGACTCTAAATGGATGTGAAAAGACATTATCATACCTATATATGGGCAAATCAGACATATGTCACATAAAACTTCATAGTGTTGATAAAGTTTAAAGGTTGCTAAGTAAAGTATAAATGACTTCACATCCTTCTACTAATCTGTGCTTTAGGTTGTATGATAAGGTGTGGCTAAATATGAAATGTAAAGAAGGACTCGGAAACTCAAGATTGGAGGCCCTGGAAAAAACTTTGCTACTAATCAATGCAACTCCTACCTTGATAAGAGGATATAGTCATGATCAATGATGGGATATTTGGAAAATATTGCTAAGCCTTCCTCAACCCTCAAGAGATTTTCTGAGAAGTACGACACAGCTGGTTGATAGACAAACTGTGATAATACAAAAAGTAAATTTCTCAAACACAATATTAGTATTAGTTAAAATATGTTTATAAAATTCATGATATATGAGGCATGTTGTGGCTAAGTTGTAGCAAAAATTGAAATTCAAGTTATTGGTATTTTCAGATACCTGAGTACAGGCCTGTAGCCAGGTCATTTCAAGGGAGGGTTCTCTGGGCGTGGGGTCCAGAGGTGGCACCGAGATTTGCCTGACGGGGGAGGGGTGGCGGTGCCCCAACGAGGGGTCAGATTTTTCCCGACGAAAGCAAAGTGGGCGTGGTCGAGCTTCAATTAATAGGTTCCAAAAGTGGTCCTGGTCCCAAAAATTTTGACAATTCAGAGGTTTCAAAGGCTTATTAAATCGATATTAGTCTACTAATGTAAAAAATACATATAATTTTTTTTTTCTCCCCGACAAATTGTGGTTTTTCTCCCCGACGTTTGGCGTTTGTAAACGTGCACGGACGTCATCGTCGAATCCCAGGACTTCCGACGGTAAAGCTGGCCTGCCTGCCAAGGTCCGTCCCAGGCCAACCAATAATAATTAACAAAATTTTTTTAAATATAGGCCTATGGCGCATCCTGTACAATTTTTACAACAAAAGCCTAGGCCTAGTAGGCCTACCTGTAGTACGTCCTACTGTACTTAGGTTATAGGCCTACACTAGTTTGTTGTCGTCGGGGTATAATTCTGTATCTAAATGAACGAGGAGCGAACCTAGCTAGTCAACATCTAGGCTAGGCTAATTAATTTTAAAATTAATAACCCAGCAGGACTATCTGTCGTTTTCTTCTTTGCAACAGCGGACGAAAAAAAGTCAGTTATTCTACAACGTTTCATGATTCTTTATCACAAATATTAACAAACACTCGTTTTGACGCACTCCGTTCTGTAGTGTAGTGCTATGATGACTGAGATGGACTATGTTGATTTATTAATAATATTTTGTTTGGGATGAAAAAAAAGGAGAGTCCATTTCCCCAAAATGCTCCATCAGCACATAGTTTAGTGTGTGGTATGGACAGTATGGCTATGGAATTTACTAAACACACAACCCACAATTAGGTGATTAAGTCGCAAAACTTTATCTGCATTTGGTGGATTAAGTCGCAAAACTTTAGCTTCGTTTGGTGGCACCATTTACTCTAGGTAGACGGCGACCGGTTTCGTTACCGGTTGGTACGTTTCTTACAAACATTCAGCCAAAGGCCAGTGAAAGTTGAGACGGCAGCCGGGTTTTTATCGATGTATGCCATCCTTATGTGTGCCATCGTAAAGTCATGGTTTGCTGGAATTGCGTTTTAATTTAAATCTCCAAACTTCTGAAGCTGAGATGATATTCTATGAATGTAGGCTTGTATCGCAGGCTACAATTTAAAAACGGGTGGGACTCATTCAAAAATTTGAGGGGATTCACTAGAAAACAGGGGGGTTCGCTAGAAAAGGGGGATTCGCCCGAACCATAAAAACCCCCCCTGGCTACGGGCCTGTGAGTATGTGATCTTAATGAGGGGTCATTCATTCAAATTGGACATTTCAAGCCTAAGTTATTGGAAAGTGAAAGTACAGTACTGTACTCTTAAAGTCAAGATAAACAGGATTTTGAGTACAGTAATTGCCTTTCAAAGTTATTTGTGCATACATTGTTTAATAGCATGAACTATGAAAAATAAAGTTAAATAAACAATTTGTTAACCCCTTCCAGAACTAATACTTTGGGACATGATTAATAAGACATTAAACTTTTAATCTATAGTGAAAAACAAATTTGGATTTTTAGGCAATTTTTTGAGCTCCCATATTTTATAGCTCATTTTACTCAATACTGGACTGTGCGACAATTTTGCCACAACATGCCTCATATTTATAAATCATGCAAACAATTAATAAACTTATATTAAATAAGATCACTGTTAAAATATGCCTATAAAAATAAAAGTTGAATGATAACAAGTAGACACCATAATACATAATTCGCATGGTAATAAATGCCTACTGATGTGTAAACCAAACATCTACATTTATAAAAACATTAGATTAATATAGTTTTATATAATTAAGCGTTTGACACAAAGTTTTTAAGCACTAAAAATGGATTTTTTTTTTGTTTTAAATTGTAAACAAATTGAAAAGGAATATAACAATTAAGAGAATAATAATTAAATATTTATAAAGTGCTAATATTACTGAACAGGATTAAAAATCAAACACACTGTGCATGTTTAAAAGTTAAAAAGGTGTGTTTGATGTTTGGCCTTGAAAATAGCAATTGAGTGTTATTCAGCAATATGTTTAGTTCCAAAGAGTGGCAGCTGAAAATAATAATGATCTGTGCAGTAGGATTTGGTGTTATCTTGAGGAACATTTAGCAAACTTAAATTGAAATTGAGCTTACCTGATAAGCAGGTAGATGGTTTGCAAGGTGTTGCACCTGTGCTGGCCCCAGGTGCGCTCCATTTGATTGGTCAAATCGTACCTCTTGAAACCCTATGATATCAGATCGACTGCTGGCAACCAACTGCAATTCAATGGGTGAAGTAATCTTCAATTATTAATACTGTATGTTTCATTTCATTTCATTTAATCCTCTCAAAAAAAAATTAACAGTACAATACACAAAATATATAAAGAGACAGTCGACTATCAAGTGGATTACCTAACATTAAAGACATAACTTGAAAAAATGCAATATTTAAAATATATTAAAATCTATTGATCCTCAAACTTGACTAGTTGTAAACTAACGATATTAATAATATTAATAGTACCAATGACAAAGTTTCCTTAACTTTTTGCATATTAATTGTTTTATACCTAATAAATAAAATCAAGTAAACAAACAAACAAATAAATAAATAAATAATATGAAGATTCCTGCAGAGAATGTGGTTCCTAAGCAAGCAATCTTTTTTTTTTATACAATGATGGCATTCTGTACGATACAGTGTAAATTTTTGAAAAAAATCTTTTGAGAACCCGGGACGCTCACTTGCATACCAACTAAACAGGGGCGTGCCGCAGCCACTTCAAGACATGAGATACTTGCGCTACCTATTTTACTGAAAATTCTTATGGATTTGAACTACCATTTACCAAAATTGCACTGTGCTTTAAAAGACGAAAGGAAAAAAGTGCACTCAATAGTGCCAGAGAGGGGGGCACAATATTTACTGGTCCCGATGGCAAAAAGTGTTCCGCCCGGTTGCGATCTCGTGACTGTATCAAAGGTAGGCTTAGCAAGGGGTTTACCGGCTTAGCACCCAGTCTAGCTTGAAATTCCTGCTAACATCGAGTAGAAAATCGTGGCACTTTGGCTCAGGATAGACCAGGGACTTTAACTACCAATTTCACCCTGGTTATTTCCCAAACTTGTGCTACAAAGTCCTCGCAAGTATACCCCATAAATGCTGCAATTCCCCCCAAGCCCTAAAAAATATACCCTGTAAGTGCAGCGCCTCCCCATATAGAAATATTTAAGGGTGAGCCCCCCCCCCACAACAAAATTTATTTCAAAAAATAATAGGGATCAAATGTGACTTACTTTTCCAAGTTGTTGTATTCTTTTCACATAGTACTTTGGATGGTTTTCTACGCTATTGAAATTCCAAATATTATAAGATAATATCTTAAATTCTTCTTGTGTTTCATTTTGTGGCACTTTCCAATGAGATGTAGAGTAACTTTCTGAACCATGGCACTCTCCACATAGAGATAATGGATTCTTCCTAAGAATACTTGCAATTGATTGGCTAGGTGTAATCACATGACCATCACTTTCGCTACTGGATTGATCACTGACAGTCAGATGTTCAGTAGCCCTGTCTCTGACGTTTTTGCTTTCAAATGTCGAGGTATATTTTGTACAAATTCTTGAACCACTCCGATAAAAAGTGTGTTGAGAGATAAATAAACGATGAACTCTGTCCTTCGTTATTAAAAATTCATGAAAGTTCGAACTGTTTTTCCATGTCAAGTTAATTCTATAGTTGATTCCAATTATTGCACGTCTTGTCTGGATTTTTTCCCTCCCATTAACAAGGTGGCGCTCCACTTTAACATAATGTGTGGCTTCATCAGTAGTATAATGCAACTTCTGTGAATGAGAATTTGTATTATTGATACAAGACTCCCTCTAATTAAAGACCAGTTTTGGGACCAGGGTTTTCATGGTCTTTTGCAGTTTTGATCTTTAATTAGAAAAAAAAAAATGATAAAGAAATATGGTACTGTAAAGATTGGCATTCATTTGGGATGGAAGGAATGTGGTCTTTCATTGGAGGGGTCTTTAATTAGAGGTAGACAACTTAGTTATACATAATAGGCCATTTTATTTGAATCATTTATTCCATTTACACCATATTTTCCATCCATATGCCATGTACATATAGACATTTGTTGCAAAACAGTATACATTTGTTATAAAACTTACAAAAAAGGTCATATTTTAATAACAATACAGTCCTTAAATTACAAAACACAAGTAATATATTTTTAGTATGCAAATTGATAATTTATATGATTATATTTATATAAATTCTGCATCATAATGTTTTATTGGGTTTAAATTTGTTTTTAACATGTTTGATTTTTTACCCATAATTTAACAATGGTAATTTCCTATATTGCCAACAAAATTTAATAATTTCTTTACATAGTCCTTTCAATAATTAATTTCATAATTAATATTTTATGGGCTGATATACATACACTCAGTCTTACCACTTTATGTAAGCCAAGAATAACAGGTTCTGATGTCACATGAGTCTGATCTGGACTTGAGACAATCAAAGATTCATATTTTGTAGCATAATTTGTTGCAATCTAAGTGAGATACAAAAGAAACAATATATTAGATTTAGAATTAAATTCATCAGCAACGCAGGATCCGATAGTGATCTGATGATTGTTATCTTGATAATTGGAAATGATTGATCAAAAGAAAAACCAAGATACAGCACAAAAACAATGCCATGTCAATTCATGACTGGAAATTCACCCCTTATAGACATGGCAGATTTCCTAAACCATGGCAGATTTTGACATGTCACCTTTAAAAGAAATTTTGACCATGATGACGTCATGAAAATTAAAAATCAAGAACACATTTGAGAAAGAGAATTATCTCAGCTATAACATACTGAAATCTGGGAGACAATCAAGCACGGATAAGCGAGACGCACCCAAATGAGTATGAAAATTATGACGAAGTAGATAAAAATTCAATTTTGTAAATTCATATGGCAATATGATGACGTTACAATGTCAGACCGATTTTGGCTTATGTGGACTACATTTGGTAGGTAATTTTAAAGCAAAAATCTGTCCGGCGGACCAATTTTGGCCCTGAACCAAATTTTTTCTGACAAGCCTACTATATCTCCACTGATTAAACTTACCAAAACAACCTCAGCAATATCTGAATCAGTATCGTTCACATCATCTACATTCTCACCTAAAATTCCACCATACAAAATGTTGTTTGATCCTAAGACTGTGAGTGTGAAAAAATTATATATGAAGTAAATATTGAAATCAAAAAAAAATTATATATGAAGTTAATATTGAAATCAAAAGAATGGATGAATACAAATTGGTGGACAGGCCTAGGCAATTTATGTTACGGTAGTACATCCTGCAATGGATGGGACTCAGGATCCATAACCCCAGGATACTAACAGGGGCTGTATGGACCAGTACACAGAGGAAACCCCACTCGTCTCCAAAGATATGCACATGAGCCAATTGTGTCTACATTTATGTCCTTATCCATGAAGACTTGTTCCACTACCAGAACCAGACAATTGGGCCCACGAGATGATCGGGTCCAGGAGTATCAGGCCCACTTTTATGCTAATCATTGCATTCTAAATTTATTTTAACCACAGATATTCTTAAAAATCGTTATTAAAATGATATTTATTTATTTTATTTATTTACTTCGTTACTGTATATAATACATCAACAAATACAAACGACAGTCATGGGCTAAAATGATTATTGCCTATAGTCTGATAATGAGGCCCATGAGACGATCAGGCCCATTGCTTGAAACTGGCCCTAATTGTCCTGGGGCCAATCGCCTTTGCGCGCTCGTATTTAATTTCCGCTTGAATAAGCGCCGATATTATGAATGTTGGTTTGGCACCCCTGCCTTACTGTAACCGCTCGACCATTCATTCGACTTGCCTTACTAGGACGGCTTGCTACATTATGCCAAAAAAAATCAGCCTCAAATTTGCATGGAAAATAACAAAATCACATCAATTTAAAATCAAATTTGTGAACATACTTGCCTTATATCTTAACTAGCAGGTAATTTTATTGGTAGATTAGTTTGTTTTTAAGTGTGTAAGTATGATTGATTTGCATGCCAAGTGAAATTAGTACCCTTTTTTGCTTTGTTTTATACTGTACCGTAATTCTCGGCTAGGTCTAGCTGTACGCCTAGCCGATACGCAGTGTGCCTAAGGAAAGTTTTGTTTTTCTGAGCATGTGCAGATTGTGCTTATCTGGCTCATTAGCATTAAACAATGCCACACATAAGGCTAATTCAAGTTAGACAGCTTAAACTAGCCAGCTTCCTATCCTGGTAACAGTTTAAGTCCTTGCGCAGGCCATTAATTGGCCTATACTACCTAGCCCTAGGGCCTAGCTAGCTAGGCCTACGTTAAACAGCCTGGAGAGCGAAAAACCGAGGTATGATACATAAGTGCACTACAAATATTTCAATCACCATTTAAGCAACGTTAATTCATTTTCGGTTCGATATTGGCTTGAATCACATTAAATATCCTAGGCCTAGGCCTTTCTTCATTCATTCGGAATACCTATCAGCCGACATGAGATCGTTCCAGCAATCACAACAGTCTTCTTCAGGAAGTGATCCTGAGCACGCCGGCCTAGGTTCTAGTATTTTATTAATAATTCGCCCTTGTTTCCAAATCTATTAATCAAGATAATAGCTAAAAATAAACATTACAATACCTACCTTCTAGCACGGAGCACATTAAATAAATCAAGAAGCTTCGCTTCAGTTGTTGATAAAGCATATTTTATCTTGAAAACATCAACACAGCACCAAGCATGCATATTACATGTGCCAGTAAATAAACAGTAAACTATGGAACGCCTTTATGGGCCGAATGGAATGCGCCATTATGAAAAGCCTCTGCCGAAGACAAATTGGCGTTCCATATGTAAAACCATGCAAAGGCCTACTAGCACATGGCTACTATTTTAGCAAAATCCAGCAAAATGTGATTCCTGCAGGTCACAATATCGCACATCCGCTGATTTCAGGCTCTATGTTCACAAATTCCTTAGAGTCCTCCACTTTGCCGAAACCCAGTTTCAGTGCCGAATGCCAGTTTGCCGGCCATCGAATCTCAGTTTATATACCGAACCCAGTTTGCCGAAACCCAATTAACCGAAAGTAAACCAAAAGCAGTAAAATATGAACACATCAGCATAACATTCACAATGTAGCACTATCTATTCTTCCATGTATTCCGATTTTATGATAAATGGATCTAGGCATGGTCGAAATCCAGTTTGCCGAATGCCAGACTGCTGAGACCACTTTGCCGAATTCCCGGGCTTGCCGAGTAGGCCTACCAGTTGCCGACTCGAAAACAATGAATCCAAGTTGGTCGAAACCCAGTTTGCCGAATTTTGTCGTTTTTCTAAATGTAATAAAGGCAATTATGTAGGCGAAACCCGGAATGTAACTCAAGCTTAACAACCATAAAAAGAGACGATCAAAAGGGTTCACCAAGCCATATATTAGTGATGATTTAGGCTTTATAATGTTAGGCACCAATTTCAAATCTACTAAGGCTAGACGATGTGCTTAGATCCGTTGGCTCCACTGTTTAAACAGAGATTTAGGTTTTTGTGAGCGAATATTGTTTTCTCACTCCTGAACTGATGGGAATTAGTCGACGAAAACCCACATCTACTCAGATGATTTGCATACTAATTTCATCAAACCAACCGCTGTACCGTTGTGGCGGCGCCAGAAAGGGGCAGGGGGCTTAAGCCCCATCGGTCTGGTCAAGCCCCCCCCCCATCGGCCAAAGCTCGTCGGGCAGTTAGACCAAAAAAAAAAAATAAATAAAAAAAAAAAATAGGCCTAGTTTTCCCATCCCAGCAATTTCCGGCCATCTAGAAGTCCCAATATTTTTTTTTAAATCTCGTTTTGGGAGGAGGGGACACCCCCTCCCATACTCACCTCTGGCTCGTGCCTTCGGCCCTTAAATAACGCTGCGCGCTATAGTTACACCCATAAATACTTAGCACCCCCCCCCCCATATACTATATCCTAGAGCTGCTATTGATACAGGGGTGTATCCTGGATTTTTTTCTGGGTGGGTCGTGATCATAATTTTTTGGACCTTTTCACAATGAAATAACAGCAAGATGTGATTAAGAGATCAATACAATTTGCTTGAAGCGGATGGCAGGCTCAGTTTCAGAATTGCTGGAATTGAGATAGATTTCGTCACGCAATTGGCAAGGTATTTGGACTCATTGGTTTACCGTACCTCATCAATGCTTTTTCATTTATGTCATTGTCAAAAGGCCTTAGAAAAAAATGTCTTTGGAAAAAATGTGGACCTTTGAAAATTGGGGGAGTCGTACGACCTTCCCGACCGCCCCTTGCATACACCTATGGTATACCAGAGGCCTAAACATTTCTCCATGCTCACTACTCGAGCTACTGGACCAGGGACACATAATGAACGAATATTACCTTCAGGGTTGTGGACAGGGTGATTGCTAATGGTGCCAGTGGTGTAGGCCTATCTATGGGTGAAGATGATACAACATCATTCCTGAAGATTGAGGGGTGGAGCAGGGACGTAGACAGGATTTTGAAAGGGGGGGGGGGGGGGGGGGGGGGCTGTTATGCGAGGTACGTAGGATCCCGGCGGTGGCGAATCCCCCTGTGAATTAGCGCACTCTGAACGTTTTTAGAACTGTTTTGAGAGGATAAAGTGAAAATTGCAATAGACGCGTCATAACTAATATTAGTAAGCCTAATAACAGTTATATAATAAATCAACAGTGTCGGATCCAGAAATTCGAAAGAGAGGCGACCCAGGGAGGGACTTGCACAGACTGAGGAACCACCCACCTCAGACCCACCATGGCTGAGGCTGAGGTGAGAAAATTTATGATTAGGGCACCTCTAGTTGGCCGAAATTATACTCTCAGACTTAAATTTGTATATACAGTAATTTTTTTTTTCTCCATTAAAAGAAATTAGGGGGGGAGGAGGTCCTTGAATCTGCCAATGCTCAAAACATTCTTTATCCAACAAACATAGGCCTAATCACGAAAAATGGGCATAAAAACCAAGATCACATCCTAAAAACAAATTTATGCACCCTCGCCTCAGCAGTCACTAAGACATAGGGGCCTACACTCTGAGTCAGGTGCCGACTCGATGGAGTTTAATGTCATACCCAGGAAAGGGCGTAAATCTGTTTTAAAAAGGTGGAGGGGAGGACAATTTGTGAGTCGATACCCATCCCAGACCCACCATGGCTGGGGCTGAGGTGCGGACATTTGAGGAAATAGTACCTCTAAATGGCCAGAAATGACACTTTTAGTAAAATTCATTATCATCACATTATCATTAATCAAAATGAGGCGGCTAAAAAAAAAAACCAAAAAAAAAAAAAAACAACTTTTATCAGGGATTTTCAGCAACCATTTTATTAATATGTGTGATATACCATAGAAACAAAGCTTAAAGACATTGTCTTTGACTACTGCGTGTACTTTATATACTTCAAAACTGTAATTTCACAACCACCATTTAAGGAAATAGTACCACTAGATGGTCGGAAATGACACTTTCATCGTCATCAAATCGCCATTATATCGTCAAAATGAAGCGCCAACAAATTTCTCATGATCTTTTACCAGGGATCTACTTAATATCCAGGACAACTTAGGCCTAACTATGGCTTACTAAGTTTTAACTATACTATAATAATTGTGATCAACTAATCACAACTTTCTTTTTCGCTTTTAGCACAATTTTCTTCACTTTTTAATATTATTAATATTATTATCAATTATCACCATCATCAACATCGTTATTATTATTATTATTATTATTATTATTATTAGGCCTATTATTAATATTATTAATAGGCTAGTATTATTAAACAAAACTTTAAAGAAGCTTGCAAAACGATAAAAACCAAACTGAATCATACAACATCACATTTCTGTATCTTAAAAGACTGGCCTGGGATTTATGGATTTAAGATTTTTTAAAATCATGCTTAGGCCTATGTGTTATAATTTTAGTAAGCCTATTAGGCCTATATGTATAACTTGTACAGATGCTGGGACTGATGCATATTTACATGTTTTAGAAGTATTCATTTTAAGTGATCCCATGAAAAAAAAATTGTATTGGCTCAAGAACAAGCTTTAAAATTTTTACACTGTGTGTTTTTACACTTCCCCCTCCCATGGATACGTCCCTGGTGGGGGGCATTTATCGACTACGACTAGTGGCGCTAGCTGTGAAAATGAGGTAATGGTTTTGTTTTTGCTCATCTAATTTCTAGTGGAGAAGTGGTGCAAACTTTTTCTGGGCCCCAATGCACCCCTTTGCGATAAAATAAATTAAATTAAATATTCACAATGCTGTTGGTGTTGGAGGCTAGCAGAGTACAAGCTATTTTTAGGAGGTCATCACACATGACCCCGCCGCGATACAGTCACAAACACACTTCTCATATTTTGAATATAATATCTTATCATAGGCTTTGAGAAATGTGTGTATGTCTTGATCTATGTCAATGATACGACCTTTAAAAATTGAGAGCATATTAAATAGAATCTGGTATTTCTATTTCCTTTTCGCCTAATCCTACTTCCTTAGGCCTACACAATCCATGGTAAAATAAATTATTTGGCATATATTGTCTTTTAAAGCTAATTTTGGATTTTAAAACTTACTTATGGTATACTGTACAATTAATATTCTAAGACATTGAAGAGGGGTTTGTAGAAATAACGGGTAACAGGTATTATCATACATTTTTATATTTATTCTTATATTTTTGGAATATTTATTCGTCCATACTACATATGTTTTCCTTCAGATTCTTATTTTTTTTCAATATTTTATATTTCGTTACTTAACATTTACATTCAGTAAATTGATTTACTCTTACTTGACGGTATCGCACTTCTTTTTGGTGATTATACATAATTCATATCTCATTTTTGTTTATTTTTATTCGATTTCGTATCCCGTTTATATTGTATTTTGATCATTTGTTTCATTTTTGAGCCAAGAACTTTTATGGATATGTTTCCACTTCGTCCAAGAGTTGCAGTAACTTGGTAGCCCTTTAGTGTGTATAGGAACGTCGTACTAACAATATCACCCGTTGAAACTAATATACTTACTGGTATAAGTGTATTTAAATGTATATTCAATTACTACAAATTTCACCCACTCTCTGTGCATTATTCTCAAGAATCTGGGTCTCAAGTGAGATACTTGCCTGGTGGTTGGCCTATGCCAGATTTTTTTGCACATTGCTCAAAAGCGCGCGCGCTTCCATTTCAAATTTCGGACTCTATTCTCATAAGCTATGAGGTAATCATCTTTTCCTCTCTGAAATATTCACACACGGCACCATCAAGCGACCCTGACCTTTGGAACAATATTACAGGTATATATTATTAAAAAATGATACTAAAATCTTAGAAACAGTGTTTGCAGATGGAATTTATAATAATTAACGTTTGTACATTCAAACTAAATTTGGCTTTCGTACCACTGAATACCAATATATGTAGACCTACGTAACTGTGTCAGACACTTATGTTCTAATTTTGTTTTTCCGGCATCACTGGCTATACACACAGCTAAATCCCTATCCACACTATCCAATGTTATGTGACATAAAATGTGATATGCCCATATTTGGGTTTAATATGACGGCCTACTACAATGCACGTACGTACAGCGACACATAAAATATTCCAGTAAGGTAAGTTTAATGAATATAATAAACCCAACCATAGATTTATGATACTATAAAATCATTAAAATGATTATAATTAGAGTACTAAGTCATATATAAAATTCATAACTTCATTAGATGAACTGAGATATCTATAGCAGCGGCGGCGTATAAAGGTAAAAGTTATACAGACATGTACCCAGACTCTACCGAATGGAAGAGGGGTTGGTTCTCTAGGTTTGGGTTGAGAGGGCCCCGATGATTAAGTGCTTAAATAAAACGTAAATATGATACATCTTGCATTTTAAACTAAAGATAATGTAATATAGTTATTATTAAAAGGCAAATATTAATTTCATAGAAGAGGTCTGTATTTTTTTTTCGTAAGCATTGTGGTGGCAGGTTTTGCCGAAGTGGGCTTTGCCGGAATCATACCCACTCCTTAGCTACATGCACACCTAATATATTTTAGAATAAGAAAACAATATAGTTTCACTGACATTGGGATGACCCTGGTTACAGATCACCCGTTTTGTTTGAAACACGCAATAAGGATGTGAAAAGATAAAAGCGTTTCCTTTTGTACCAGGAGCCGCCATCCACCTCAAAACAAAGAGAACATCATGCCACTCTAAAAAAATGATGAAAAGACATTAAGGCACCAGTGTTCATTATAGTTGGCATCGAGGTAGCAGATTGGCGTCGAGTCAACCTCAAGTGATCTAATTAGCAAATTCAGGTAATTTCATTTTTCCCCCAAATAAACTTGAAAATAGGAATAGGAAACTAAGAGGAATGTAGAAAGTTACACAGTATTTATATTGGTGAAAGAATACATATAAAATCAACTTATAATTCTCACGAGCTTTCGCTAGCTCTTGTTAGCATTGTCTAGGTGAACTTAATAATAGTAATATAATAATGATGATGATGATGATAATAATAATAATAATAATAATAATAATAATAATAATAATAATAATAATAATAATAATAATAATAATAATAATAATAATAAAATAAATATTAATCTTTATCCATAATTAGATGAGTTAAATTTTTAAGGTTACCGGAGCAAAAATCTGGAATGAATTACCCACAAATATCACCCACTCACCGTCAATTTGTTCTTTCAAGAAGAGTTACAAGATCATTTCTTCCCCTTATTGATTTTAAATAATTTCAGTAAGTTTTTTTCACCATTGAAAAGCCACACCCCCTTACTTGAAGTGGCGCCGCAAACTTAGCAGTGCACGGTAGGGGAAGCTGCCGGAGCCCAGGTACCTGCGTGTACCCGGTAGTGATGGCGGCGCCATCTCAAAAGGGGAGGGGGCGGGGGCACATCTGCCTTCTTTGTGGCTTTTGAAAAGAAAAGAAAAGAAAAGCAGTAGGGGAAGGAAAGAGAAAAGGGAAGGATTAGGTGGAAAATTATTGCTTTGTGTGTTGTGTGTGGGTGTGTGTGTGTGTGTTTTTTTCCAGGACCACAATGTAAACATTTTTTTAATGATTGTGTCATCCTGGTTAAAGATGTTAATGAATAAATAAATAAATTTTGAAATATATCTCACTTTATAAACCTGTATGTTGCAAAATGAGCTCACTTTCTTTTTTCATTTCATGTAAATATATATTTATTATGTCACTTAGTTGTAATGGTGTAGTGTTCAATTTACGCTGATGAAGTCCTTATGATTAGGACGAAATATTCGTTAAAATAATAATAATAATAATAACAATAAAGTTCTTAACCTTTCTGAATCGACAGAACAAGTGGTTGTCATTGACTATCAGAGTAGTTGACAAGCTTCAACTGTGCAAAACAAAAGGAGGACCCTAGAGAGAGAGAAAAAAACAAAAATAGGCCTAAAAATTAAATTAAACTATTTATTTTTTTTGTTATGCAGATATAATGCAAATAAGAAGGAAAGTAAATTAAATAAATTATATTTATGTAAATATAATATTTGATTGTTTATATATAATATAATTCTGGCAACCACAATAAGACGCACAGGTAGGCCTATTATAGGAACATAATTTTATTGCATTCGTAGAGAAACATGTGCAGAATATCTGACCAATTAGGCTACTTCAGATTTCTGAAGACGCCCTACTTTAATATATTTAAGTAATGTGGAAACACAACACATTTCAGTATTATAAAAACTTGTTTTGCTATGTGTTTTGTGAGCTATATCCCGTGAGACTAATGGGCGCAGCCAGAGGGGAAGGATCAGAGGGTCAGGAGGTCCCTCTCAAATAATAAAAAAAATATAGGCATATAATGAAAATTGTCCCCAGGAACTGAACGACAATGCAAACAAAAGAATTGGGAATAAGCCACTCTCCTTACCATACTGTGAAGCTTTTTAATTGCGCGGATGACTCCTCAAAAACTGGCTCAAATTTTTGCGGAAAATCGCTAGGAAAATAGGTGCGCAGAATTGTAGCTACTGTATAATACATTGTTTATTTACTAAAATTAGGTCAAAGCCTAATGTTCGGCAAAATTTGCTCGGAAATTGGCATTAATTGGCATTAATTTCCAAAATGTGCGGCGGATTTATAGGCCTAACTTTTGCGCGAAGGATATATCCCCACACAGGCCTACTTTACAGCCTGGCCTGCTTTTTATAATATTATGATTTACAGAGTAACTGAGTGACTCTTACCTAAAACCCGGCGCACACGCCGTTTCATATTCTAGCAAATAAAAACACTAATTTATTACAGTATTATTTGGTATAATCAGGGAAGAGTGTAAATTAACTCTTCCCTGGTATCAGAGCCTCCCTGTACGACCACCTCCCGCAAGCAATCACCCCTTAACGTCCACTCTCATATGGTCCCGTTTTTTCTCCCAATCTAGTCAGTACATTTGATACCTCTCTTAACCACCACCTCCCGTAAGCCACTTCGACCACTTTTTGACTTTTGGATTTTTCCTTATGAGTCACCTCCCGAAGTGACCACCTTAAATTTTGTAATAACTTTGGACAAGTGGAACCGACAATTAGACGCGGCGATGGTACACCGTTAGCTGCGTCAAACTAAATAACATTACAGAAAATAATATAAATATAAAAGCGCTGTATTAAGATAAGCCTACGTTTCTCACGTCCAAGAAAATGTTAATACGGTAGGTATAGAAAAACATTGGTGCTCTTAAGACCTATTTAAAAATTGGCCATCATCGGAGGTTCATGATTATAAGATCATTACTACCTTAGTGGAACCAGGAAAGAGTGAAATCTCACACCAAATTTATTTCCCTGTTTAGACATTTTGGTAGGCTGAATTTTTTGTTTGAGGTTTTATAGAAATGAAAGTGGTGAAACCTCTCAATTCTCTCTTTTATCACGTAAAAATAACGCAAATTTTCAGGGCCTTCGGCCCAGCCCCTTGGTATGACCGGGGACCCTTGTCGGCCCTTGGCCCCTAGCCTAGTTGCTCGCTGCACTCACAAGGCTTGACTCCCCCCCCCCCCACACGTCTGTGACTCCCCCCCCCCCCACACGTCTGAAATTTGACTCTGCTGCGCCCCTGAGACTATTTTGTTTGTGGGGAATGCACGTATTCCTGGCCTTCCCCGTTGAAGCCTACACATTGGATCCTTCAATGTACGTTTGGTTTACGATACCCTAGTACTATATGAAATTTAATATAGACCACAATATACTACTGCATTCCTATGTACTTTGTGACTTAATGGACCTTTCCGATAAGCCCTGCCCCTTTTATATTGTTGCCAAGGTAACACAAAACGACATTGTTAAAACATACGCAAACACATGCGTTTGTGGGACAACACGTGTGCTTGTTGGACACGCGCGTATTCATGGCACTTTTCTGATTGGTGTCAGCTGTAAGTTTCATTGGCACTCCGGAAAAGTCCATTGTAATAGAAGTTTATGAATTAGTTTATTTTTTTATAGAAGTAGAAATAGAAGTTCATGTGAATTAGCTCGTTAAATTGAGACGAAAATATTACTCTCGAAGGCTGTCACCAGAAATCACAAAGAATGGGTGGAGTCTCCCTCCAGTCGATCTTCAACGTCACCGTTGGTGCTGGACTGCTTCTGCTATGTTCTTCTGGAATTTTAAAGTTTCAACAAATCGATAACAAGCTGGAAGGACATCCGGTAGGAATCTAAATAGGCCTATTATATTTCCCAACATAAGTCCAATACTCAGAAATAAACTTCCCTTCAACATTAATCATAAACATCGTCTTCACTTGATATTTTTAATTCACTTCACAAGAAGACGCACTTTTTAATACTCCTTCTTTTTTATCGGGACCACGGCTAAAGACTGTTGGAATGGCGCCATGTATTAATGGAACGATTGATTGATTGATCATGTCTGGGTCTTGGATCTAAAATGTCTGCTATCAGTAATTTCTCCATAATTTTGCTGTGTAAAAATTGCATAATAATTTTGTTGGTATAATAAAATATAAATTGGTATTTATTATTTGTCATTCTTAAACTGTATGTCGAGGATAAAGAATCAATGCGTATGCTCAAAAAGCTACAGTAGATTAGCTTAAAATGAAATAAAGGACCGTTCCGCCCTCTTGGATAATATTTCGTAAGCTTATGTGTTTGTGCGACATTAACGTATTTCTGACCCTCTCCTGATTGGTCAATTGTTTGTAAAAAGTTTGATTTACTCTCCGGAAATGTCAAATGTAAGAAACTCGTGATATTCTGATTTTCAGACCCTAGGTCACGAAATCAACAAACGTGACACATCGTTGACTACCGCTCCTGATAAGTCTACAAGCTGCACCATGCAATGTAAGTTTACGATGGTCATTATATTAATGAACTTTTACCAACTAATACAATATATATATACATATATACATTTACGTATACATATATATATATATATATATATATATATATATTAATCATCAAAGAAAGGTAAATACAGTGTTCGAATAAAGGACATAATAATACATCGTGTAGCATAGCTCTCAACGAATGTAGTCCAGTAAATAAATGAATAAAGAAATTGTGTAATAAAATGCCTCTGGCGGGACTCCAACCTGTGACCTCTCGCTGTCAAGGCGAGCGTCATAACCATTAGACCACGGAGGCTTCATGGTTAAACAGA